ATTATATAAGAATAAAAACCACCGCTAACAAGGATGCAAGGCTTTCAGCATGATGCATCCTGACGATGAATGTCATGCATTGTTTGGCGTGGCAAGGATGCTGTTATGTTGAATCGATGCTCTCTATGCCGGGGATCTGTTGCATCAGTGTTTGCATCACATTCATGCTTCAACCTCATGCCGGGTGGTCAACATGCAATCCGTAAACTGACAAGCTGCTTGCAGAAAACGCGTGACTCCTACTGGGCACAAGTTACCGGTCTTGAGCCACGCATGGTCTTCATGAGCTCCTACTCGAGCATCAACTGACGGCAATCTGTGTGAGGAGCCCGTACGGCGGTAGCAGCTCCACGCAGCAGCCGCTGATCTGAAGCTCTGAATGATGCTGTACGTGCGATGCAGGAGTTAGAGGATGCCAGAAGTGCCACGCTAGCACAACTTACTGTATGCCTGGACTTCCATGATCACAACTTTCAGATTGCTAGTTGTAGATTAGGACGCCGGCAATCATCTGAGTTGCTTGCGAGAAAAGATCATAAAGATCAATTCTGAATGACCCAACGACCATGCTGACTCATCGGAGGGGTTCTTGCTAAAAGCACATGACTGCCTGCCTGCTCGCCTGCTCGAACAGAGAAGCTGCTCCGAGCGCCTTTGAAGCCCCCTAATAGCCAAACACCTTCGCAATGTGGCGGCCAGACCCAGGACCCTGCGTCGTTCCACGCTCAGTGGGTGGCATTTCGTGTGAGTAGTATTAGGCAGTAGTTTTGGAGGGAGAAGAAGCTTTGCCAACACGTCAGCCTTGCAGGCACAGGTGGCCGATTGGGGCGAGCACCCGGATGATGTTGAGCGCCCTACTCTGACTTCATAAAGCATGGAGAGAGTTCGCCAGTAACTTGCCAGGTACATTCGGCAGCTGAAGGCAGTGCCCAAGAAAATTCTCAAGAGGCGCGTCAAAAGTCAGCTGTTAGACTTGTCAGAGTTGGAGCGCTTTGGTGGTGGGTTGCGGAACCAAGCTCCGTTGCGCAGGCGCGAGATAGTTGCCAAGGACATCGACAGCACAAAGCAGATGGTCAAATAACCTAGAAAGCATGTGTCTTCATTTTGTTTGATGTCGCAGGGTTTGCTCTGCGCTGGTTGTTAAGTGTCTGCCGGCGCTGATTCTATGCCTTGGCAAGGACTTGGACATCAAGCGAGTGTGCCAGAAGCAGGGAAAGGCATGATGCCTTCTGAGTGTTGCAGGGGCCTGGGCGGTCACCGATGCCAGTGGCAACAGGTTCACTTCTCCGTTGCTTGCTGGAACTTGTCCGAGTACTCTCGGAGTGGTGGCTTGGATGCTCAGGCGATACTCAAGTCTAAGTGCACTCTCTCTGTCTCTCTTTCTCTCTCTCTCTCTCTCTCTCTCTCTCTCTAGGATCTCCGCTTTGGTGCCACTTTCCGGAGGCTTCGAGTCTGATCCATGTCTTTTACGAGGGAAAGGACGAGCGCAAGGTGGCTGCGTCGTGCTAGATGAATGTGAGCTGTACCACAGCCTTAGCACAGCACGATTTGACCTGAAGGTTCTCAACGTGTTCTCCTCTGCTGGCATTGAACTTGAGTCCGGCGCTTATGGCAGAGGATGTTCTCGCCACAGCTGCAAGCTGCACAGGTCTGCTGAAGCCGTTCCAGTGGACCCAAACTCAAGTTGAACGCCAAGCTATTGTTGCATGTTGCTTGCTGACCCGTGGGATCGTGATGCTGAACCCACCTCACGGTGGGATTAACTTAAGGCAAGCGCCATGAGCAGCAGATCATGTACGCCAAGGAATGCTTGTATATCCAGGAGAGGGTTGAGTGTGCTGCATAACCTTGACATTGCAGAGCTCGTGTGATGCTTGCTGGCGTGTGCTCGCATCGCTGCTCGACAGATGCCAGCATGCGAAAGCTCGGCGTCATTGAAGGGAGCATTGTCCAATATGATTAGGCGCTATAGGGTATGTGTGAGGACGAGAACACGTGGGAAGAGGGACAGCCGCTATCTCCAGATGAAGCCAAGCAAAGGCCTGCCGTAGAATGGCATTGCGCAGCAGTGTTGAGAAGTTCGATTGCACGCTCGGCACGAAGCCTCGTGGCCAGGTTCCAGGGCCGCATGAAGGCATAGATACCAGACGCCTTCAAGGCAGATCCTCACCAGTGAGCCCGGGCAGGGATGCACATGCGTCAGGAGTCCTTTTACTGTTGCTTTCGCTCAAGTATAACTTCAAGGGAAGCGCTGAATGAGAGGTCGCCATTACACTTTATCCTCACGACGTAGCATCGGTGTCACAACGGAGCGCAGTATGAACTCGCCCTGTAGCTCTCGGACTCTTCCGAATGCGTGGCCTGCAAAACAGTGCAGGTTTCCTGGCGTGCTTCGGCATGATGTTGGGGTTTCATGGGAATTGGATACATCATTGTGGCAACGGGCTCTCAGCCAGAAAAAAATGTTTGTCACAGCAAATACTCTGGGAAGAATGGTACAGACTAGTGCAGCTTCTTGACTTGAGCTTGTGTTTGCGCGCCCACGTTTCACCATGGAGCTTCTGGACAAGATTGTGACAGCCTTAGTAGCATTTGAGATGCATCCTCTGCTGTTCTCCATGATTTGTCTGCGGTCATGCTTCACTCGTCTTCTGTGCAAGATAGTTACAAGACAGCAGTCTCGGAGAGCACGCGGATGTTGGTTTTCAAAGCCGTTGACGCAAAGCAAACCTGCACCGATTCCAGGCCATCTATGTTGCCGTCATCACGCCCCTGATCATGGTGTCCAAGCCCATTCTGCCAAAGGCAGACTGGGATCAGAGTTACAGAGTTAGCTGTTTTTTTTCCGGACCTTCCTAAGCAACTGCTCGTGCTCTCACGGACTGCTGCAGTCCTGCAGGAAACGATATTGCCTTCTTCTGTTTTGGGATGGTTTTGGCTGTGCAATCGTAGGCGGTCTCAAGTGATAAGAATCGGTCTTACCCGAGGCGCTCGTGATGTTTCAGGTCGTATTGCCCATGCTTCACTGACAGGAGAGGCGGCGTCTTCAAAAGCAGCATTGGCAACGCAAAACGCGTGGTCGACCCCAGGAAGCGCATGCCAACAAGGGCCACATACGGATGCGAAAGCTCACGGAATGGGATGATTTCGTGGAAGGCATACAAACAGCTCTCACTTGGACGAGTTCGTCAGGAGAACAATTCAAGAAGCAAACATTGCCAGTGGGAGCATGGCACGCTATGCCGCAGAAGGATGCATTAGCATTTGCGAGAGCATATCTAGAGCTGGTTCGCGGGGTACTCCTGTGTCACTCGCAGAGCCAAAAACATGCCGTTCACTTGCTAAACCACCACCTTGACATCTCCATCCTTAGCCTGCGTAGTTGGCCAAAGACGTTACGCAAGAATCCAAGAGCTCTGGCTCTGCGATCGCATTTGATGAGTTGTGAGCCCCTGGGCACACCATCTGGCATAGGGTGAAGAGCCCTGGGCACAGCCTCACACAGCTTACTGGATTGTTGAAGTGGTGCTGAAAAAGTAAGTTTCTGCAATATTTGTCTTCAATCATGGACATGCTAGTTGTCAAAATTGCCCAGGCATGACATTACTCAGAACTTGTTGTGTTACTGGAGCCAGGTCGTTTGGGGCTACGACTTCCTCCCACAAATGGCATGCCACATGCCACGGCCTTGTGTAGCAGTTACGACAAGATGGGGATGCAGCAGTGACACAGGGTCTATTCGCACGTTGGTTTCGAAGAGTTCCAGGTGGTCCTTTGTCATTGCTTGCCTCATCCTGCTGCACAGCGGCGGGGAAGAGTGGATGGAAGCTGGGCTTTACCTTAAGCGGCCAACTCCCCGATACAGATATGTGGGGTCTCAGCAGAGTCAATCAACTGTATTCTTGAAGTCACGGAACCTCTGTCCAAGGAGCCCAGGCCTCAGCTTTGTTGGCAAGCCAGCCTAGGCCTTCATCTCCTTTGTCTCCGCGATGCTCATAGCTGGAACCTCAGGACAAGGTGTCCATTCTGTCGGCTCTGGTGGAGCATGCTGACTTCAGCAGACAATGCTGGTCTGGCTATAGCATTTGCTGAAGGTTGCAAATCTTGCAACCATGGGATTCTCCTTGAACCTTTCCGCACCAGTAGCCAGCTCCTGAGGTGGCTTGTTGCTGGTGATGCTCTGCTCCAGACTGCTTGACTCTGAGGTCGCATTGTTGTGGGAATGGAACTACCTTCTCCAGCGAGTCAAGCCAGAAGCTTGGCCTCAACAGACCTTGCGCTTTGCGAAGTATCCAGAGCTCAGGTAGAGAACCGCGAAGGCATTTCTGACGGCACCGTGTGAGAAATCACACATCCTATTGTTTTACCATACAGGTTTTGTAGAGTATCCCAAGATCTTTCCAAGGCTTGCAGGCATAGAAGGTGGCTGCATTCTTTCATCAGCAGTGAGATACCCCAATACGCTGATCAGCTGCAGCATCATGCAACCTGCACTCTATGTAGCCACCGCTGCTTCTCCAGTCGGGGAAGTGTACAATGTACGCATATGGTTGAGACTCAGCTTAAGGGGGAAAAAGTGCTGTCTAATGTGATCTATGTGTGCTTCCTGCTTGCTTCTAGCAGGCCATGCTGTAAGGAGTCAGAAGCGACTGGGAGCCATGCGGTTTGAGGAAGCTAGTTCAATATGGACTGTTGGCTCAAGGTGCTTCATCAGATGCCTGACAAGCATCCAACCGACATACACGCAATGAATCTTAATGACTTTGAAAGACGGTGTCTTGAGTAGCCGATAGGTAGGAGCCAACACATCGAGCGCCATGGAGCTGCTTGACAAGATGGCATTGATGCTCAGAAGTGACTTGTGCACTGGCCACGCATGCCATGCGTGCACGCTGTCAAGGCCGTTTACGTCCTGGTCATCACGCCGCTCATCATGCTGGCCAAGCCCATCCTGCCAAAGGCAAGTGAAAACATGCACTGTTCAATGTTCACGGTAAGAATGCTTAAGCTCTGCATGTAGGTTGTCTGGGGCTATGACTTCCTACCCCAGATGGCGTGCCACATGCTGGGGCCTAGAATTATACTTGCTCTTCCTACCAGCTTCTCTGCATCTCAGGTGGTCCTTTGTCATTGCTTGCTTCATTCTACTGCACAGCGGAGATGACTACATGGAGCCTTGCTTGCATTGTTGCGGACGCTTGCTGGACCTGTCACGTGACGCGTCTGTTGTCCTGAGGCAGCAACAGAGGATCGTGCCATACTGTTGTATGATAAGCCTTGCTGGTTAGACGCATGGATGAATCTTCTCTCCCCCTCCCAGAGTGTATAACTGTACTGGCTAACACTTATAAGTCATGAGGGGCATATTGACGTGGAGATGGACCTTGGGGTGGTGGGTCAAGGGATTCTTTACTCCGAGAACCTCGCCCCAACTAGCAACTCCTCTTTGGGCGATTCTGAAAGTTGGGTCTCTGGCCAACCTGGATTTCATTTTGGGGGTTCACGATCAGAAGGAATGATTGTTCAAACCACTCTCGGTCAACGCAGCAAAAACAAGGTGGTTCGCCCTGCCCTTTCTAAGTCCAGATGAGGCCTCCAGAAGAGAAAAGAATTCATCCGCTGCAGAGACTTGGAAATGTCACCCTGAATGCCTTCAAATCAAGACACCCTTGGCCTTTCAGCCTTGGGGGAGAAGTTCAGGGGTGCGAGCTCGGAGCCCTACTACACGTCTCGAGGCCCTCATCTCTTTCTTCTCGGCTATGCTCATTGTCTCAACCTGAGTGTCAAGTTGCCATGATGATGACGACTTCTCAAGTGCTCACTGATTCTCACCGTCAGGTTGCGAACCTTGCCACAATGGGATTCTCTTTGGATCTGTCCGCCCCGGCAGCTAGGCGCCCAGTAGCCCAGCAGTGCACGCGCTTTCCAAGAAGTTCACAAGCCGATCGAGCCCAGGTGGCACTCCTCTGGGAGTTTTGCTACCTGATGAACCGCTTCCAGCAGCTGCCTCAGGGCTTGCCAGTATGCAGCAAACGTTAAGCAACTTGATGGTACTAGTACGTCTCTATAGCTCTCACTCCTCCTCAAGCTGTCACGTTGCCCTTGGTTCTTGTGATTTGAACGTTTGGCTGTGCTCTCTGATGCAATTGGCTAAGATGATGCTTCTGCTTTGATTGATAGCAGACGGCAATCCAGATGCTCAGCGGAATCCCATAGCCTGGAGATGTTTCTGAGCGTCGTGCACTCAATTTTCAGAATACGCTCGCTTGTGAAATCCTCTTTGGGTTCGAAGCCTGTGTTTCCACATAGTTGCGTCAACCACTGGCGAGCATTTTCTGCGCCTAAGATGCGCCTTGGGGCCTCTTCTTAGACGCTAAGTCAGAGGGCACCTGGCTGCTGCTTTTGATTGCTTGTCTGGGATAAATACTTGCAGGATCGCCGCTTCGCTTAGGAAAATGGTGTGGATTCCAAGCAGGGATTTAGGGTATAGATGTTGTCGTTTCCGAGGGGCTTCGTCTGATTTGTGGCCAGTGGAGGCAGATATGCGTTCTTTCCTAACTAGCCTTGCTCGTGCAAAGATTATGGTCCAAGATGCGTGGAGGGACTATCTTCCATTGGTTTTGAGGGGTCTAGGCTCATCAAGTGGTTCCTGGGAAGTATTCTGTAGTTATTTTAAGTGCGCCCGAAGCGGGCAACGCAGGCAGCCTCAAAGCCGAGGGATTGTGGCCGGGCTTGAACAGCATGCTTGCGGCGGGGGCGCGCGGGCCCCCCTTTTTGCCAGGACCATCTCCCCTCCAATTCGGGAATCGAGTCCCCCATTATGCTGATGATGTTGGCCCTGGACCCGCGCAAGGGAAGGCCCTCCCCCCACTCAGATTGGAGAAACGAGCCCTCAATGATGCTGATGATGCTGGCCAAGGGGGCCAGCATCATCAGCGTCATTGGGGGCTCGTTTATCCAATCTGTGGCCTTCCGGCACCCCCTCCAACCTGCAAAAATTGGCCCAGATAGGCCTCGAGGGCTGGTTTTCAAAACGGTCCGTGCTCATGATGCTCATTTTGGTTGGGGGGAACCACGAATCCTTCAAAAATCCTTCCGTAGCGGGGTCAAAGTCGCATGCCAATCTCGGCTTAGTTTTGGAGCGGGGTTCGGGAGGGCCCCTTGGAGAAACGGAGGTCCAAGGATGCAGGGTCGGCGGCATGGGCAATGGCCTGCAGCAGCAACCCCAGGGCGTTGCCTGATGTAAGGGCTTGCGCCGCTGCCGCCGACCCGGGCATTAGGGAGTTGGGGCAGCAGCAGAGCATGAAGCGGTACATAGCGCCCACGTCTCCCCCCAATTATGATGTTGCGAATTTTTCGGGTTGACGCAATTCTCATTGGGGGGTCCTGATTCCAAGATCACAGTGCGAGCGTTGGGTAAGAAAA